CTATTGTTCTCAATACTATTATTATTAATACTATTATTCTCAATACTATTATTCTCAATACTATTATTATTAATACTATTATTCTTAATACTATTACTATTAATACTATTACTCTTAATACTATTACTATTAATATTATTATTCTTAACACTATTATTATTAATACTATTATTATTAATACTTTTAATAAAATTGAAATTAAACGTCCAGAAATATCGAGCTTGTTTACTAAAAACTTGTGGCAGTATTTATTTCCTAGAGGTTGATATTTGCTAAAAGCTTGGAAATATTTAAACAGGAAGGTAGCTTGAAAGGCCCAGGGCAGTGATGTCGAGCTACGTATGGGGGGGGGGGAACGGTTTCGAGAGACGTAGTAGATTCGAGGAGCAGTGGGAAACTGGAGATCTAACGAGGTCAACTCGTATGGTGCTCCTGTGCGATCCTTCCCAGAAACACCAGCCACACCCTTTACGAATCACGAGACACCACGACTCACATCGCTTGGCGCTCACAAGGACGACGTCGACCGCGACTTTTCCTTTTTTTCTTTTTTTTTTTTTTCTTTTTTCCTCTCTGTTCTTCTTTCTTTCCGCCAACTCGTGAATCACGCCGCTGTTTTATCTTTTCACACGTCTGAGCCAACGCGGCGAAAGGTGTTAAGGTACCTGTTGCTCCACCTGGGCCTAACTTCTCTGTGGGAGAATTGAAATAAAAAATCGTTTCGTTGCGAGAGAGAGAGAGAGAGAGAGAGAGAGAGAGAGAGAGAGAGAATGCTAATTTGAAGATACCAAAGAAGGGATTGTCCAATTTAGTTAGAATAGAGTTCGCGCGCGTGAAAATTAGGTTTTTCGATGGTTTCTCTTCTTCTGCTTCGTGGCAAGTCACTTTTGAAAATTGTGTACCTTTATTCATCTCAGGATTTTCATCTCAAGAATTTTCAAGAATTCACATAACCAATTTTGCTTCTGCGTTCTCTCCAAAATTTCGTCGCGCTTGTACCGGGTGTCCCGATTTTAATCCACAAATCTGCGAAACTGTTCGTCATTTAAAAAAAATGTCTCAAATGCAATTTTTTTTTTTTCTTTTAGATATTTCTGGATATTTTTCCCAACGAATAGAAAGAGAAATATTTGTAAAAAAGAAAATCTTTTTGTAAAAAAAAAAGAAAAGTATTAACCTATGTATATCGAGAAGCTATCGATTTAGGAGATATTTTAATTTTAATTTTATAAAATCTATCATACGAAAGATGAGGATTGTGTTCTTGTGTTCATACTGTTTTTGTCTTTTGTGCACAGATATTTTGTAAAAAAATATCTCTTAAACTAACGTAGATAAGTTTAGGTTTTATATAATACCTTTAATTAATTTTAAACGTAGATAAGTTTAGATTTTATATAATACCTTTAATTAATTAATTTTAAACGTAGATAAGTTTAGGTTTTATACAATACCTTTAATTAATTAATTAAGTCAATACTTTTCTCATAGAAGACGATTGATGCAAAAAAAATTTACACAATTATACTTGTAAAAAAAAGGAAAAATAGTAGCAGTGACCTTCATATGTCCTATACATTATGTCTGTCTAGACATACTAACCAAGTGTACCGAAATTACTGCCCTCTCGAAACAGGGGAAAAAAAGGAAAATGCACTTGAGGCACTTTTTTTAAAAAACAACGACTAGTTTCAAATATAATGCATTTGTGAAAAATAATATGGGATACCCTGTGCATGTATCTATTGCCACGTTCTTCATTTTCAGCATTCACATTCACGTTTGTGCATCGTTTCATCCTTGGACGACGTATCCGTGTCCGCTGTAAAACTCGCTGCGAGTGTCATTCAAAAGCGGAACTTTTTCATATTCAAGGATTTCTATCGAACGAAACGCGAAAAAAAAGAAAAAAGAATGTGCGAGTCATACGTTGCATGACTGTACGTACAATAAATAGTTCAATGTCGATCGCGTAGGAAGGCTTAAAGGCTTAAGTCATTCAAGTATAATGTAACTGTAACGCGTGTGAACGTAAGAACTCTTCTGCTCCCACTTCATTATGCATCTGGCGTTTCTGTGTGCGGCGGCGTGTGCACGTGTATGAAGAAATTTGTCTTCGAAACAATTAACTGTTCCTTGGTACGGCAAACACAAGTTTCGGCTCTGTCGAGTGTGGATTTTTCCAGCGTGGAAAGAAAATCTTTAATTGTCCTCGTTCCGTGGAGTTTAATTACGCGCCATATGGTAATTAAACTGGCTGTTCGGCAGTGAGAAAAATTTATTTCGAAATGCCGCGTTATACGGTTGGAATTTTTTGAACGTGAACGATGTTTCGTGAACGAGCATCTGCACGTTGAATAGAAAATGAGACAGATATGTTGCATTTCGGATGTTTTCAGCTTTCTCAGAAAAAAATTCTGTCGAGAGTGTCATCGTGTTCTGGCAGATACAAATTATTTTCGTCGAGTTTTCAGTTTTGCAGTTCATTTCGATGAGAAGTTAGTCGATATTGTTAGAATTTCGTAAAATATCCTCGATGAAACCTCTGTTTTGATCATTTTGAATTCGTTTTTTTTTTCTTTTTTCTTTTGCAAAACATTTTCACATCATGTGACAAAATGGAAAAGTGTTCTTCTCTTTAAAAAAAAGTTTATAAAAATCGTACGCGGGAACCAATGAAAAATTTTACTTATAACCAAGTTCATCGTGGGTGAAGACTGAACTTTACATCAATTCCTTATAATTTGCTGTACGATTTCTTTTTTCATTTTGTTGAACTTTGAACATTAAGATTAAACTACAAAAATTCAAGAAATTCCAAAATTTAATCCTAACGTTCAAGGTTGAATGAAATATCGAATCTTCGTACTAAGGTTTAAGAGATTGTTGTGAAGAGAAGACTATGACAAATCAAGTGGAAGAGAAATTTTCCAATGTTCCCAGAGACGTTCGAATTTTTCGAGAATAAAAGTCACGTCTTCGTTATGTGGCGTGAGCAACGAATCTTTGAAAAAAAAAAAAGAAATTAATAAACACTAATAAAATAACACTAGTTTCTTCCTAAAAAAATCAATAATTTTATCGTTCAACTAAATTAACATCGGCCAGTCAGTTAATTAATATTGGCCAATAACAATTAATAATAATAGCTACGGGAATATTTAGAAATGATGTGAAAAGAGCTAGTCGGTCTAATAATATTCCAAAATTTACAAATACGCTTCGCTCTCCACGAAAGATTTAATTTAGTAAGCGACAAATTGCAATTACTTTTCTCACACTCGGCGAGCATACTCGTCAAATATTGCCATCTCGCTCAGAGTCATACTCGTCATTCACAGCCAAAAGATTGAAATGAAAGCCAAGCAGATTTAACCGACTATTACGGTCCCTCGGCATCGATCGTCGCCCGTTTCTTTTGCGTTGGTCCCGTCAGTGGCGCGAATCGTTTAACAGGCTCCCTTGCTCCTCCCCCCGCGTGTTCTTGACCGCGTGTGTAGTATTATGGCGTGCACGTAGTATTACGTTCTACGTTCCCTGACCGAGGGAAAGTGGCGGAAGGCAAGGTTGCATGTGCAACGGAGATGAGAAGATGAGATCCGAGATATCGAACACAACGTGCACGGAACCGGCAAATACTTATACACGCTAGGACCAAGAATCGAAAGGCAGAGTGATTTTTCAGAGGAGAGTAGTCCCTGCCTCGTTGGCGAAAAGAATAAAAAAAGAGACGAATGTGTGTGTGTGTGTGTGTGTGTCGTTGATTTCGAATTTGCCGCCAATTCGCGCACGTTTGCTTCATTTAAGATCAACGAATTAATTAATCAAGGAATTATTAAAACGATGACGATTCAAAAAGTGATAGACAGTTAGGCCTTTCAGCCTCGCACGCCACTACGAATTTACTGTAAAACTCTACGAAATCTCGCTCGAGAATAGTCACGCTTCAACCACTAGCGCTGGACAACTGATTGCGGACCATAACGAATGACCGAACCGTACACATACGATAATTCGTCGTTTGATTTTTGAACTCGTCGGTGTGATATCACTGGATTAAAAATTATTGGGAAGTTTAATTTATTATTTAATAGATTTTATTATATATATAATAAAAAATTATTATTATTTAATAAATTATTTATTATTATATATATTATTTATTATTTAATAAATTATATATTATTATATATAATAATATTTTTTAATAAATTATTTATTATTATAATATTATATATTAAAATATTATTTATTTAATTTAATTAAATTGATTAATAAATTTATTATTTGCTTTGCCTATTTTGTTTCACTTAAATGTACTTAAAACTGAGAAAATATTGCAATTTTGGCACGTCACTTCAGCGCAAGAGATGAAAAAAATTATAAAATATAAAATTCTGATACAATTCATCTTTTTATACTTATTCAAGAATTTCGTTCAGTTATTATATAATTATAATAACTGTACATCAAAATAGTGAGTAAATAAATAAAAAAAATTCAATTTTATCAATTCTATCTTAAAATAAATGTTGCAACAACGTTAAAAACAAATCGAGTTCAAGAGTCAACATAGCTCGACATACTGTTTTGTCACCCTCGTCTCATCGACGCCCAAATTTCACCGACTGAAAATGAGTAATTTAGTCATCGAAAAAACTTTGAGATCGCCTCAGAATAATTGTTTTTCGTTGGCAATCGAAATTTTCATCGACGCCCGGTATTTCGCTGATGCTTTAATTCAATCATTATGCGTATATTGTTGTTGTTATTAAATCGAAATGATGGTCGATGGAGTGAGGGTAATCCGTTTAGAGAGGGGTCGGTCGGGACCCAGGTATTTCGAGAACCTGGCATTAGCATGATAAAAGCAGAATACAGGAGAACAGTCAGTAGCCAGCGAGGCGGATACGTTTCATGCGTGTCTGGTCTCAAGACGTTGCGTTGCGTCCGCCATATCGCGATTCTAACAGTCATGTTCTGTTGCCTGGCGATTGCAGCGTTTATGGCAGTACGGGAACGCCAAGGAAGTGATCGGGCCCATCCGTGTGGCGCACCGCTACGTGAACATGGCGAAACAGACGGCCGAATACTACAACGCGACCACAAGGAGAACCGAGATCGTGAGTAAAATTTTCTCCTTTTTTTTCTTTCTTTCTTTTTTTCCATTTCATAGCATTTCATACTCGAGCGCGGAGACAAGCAATAATACATATCTACAATAAGATAGACTGCGGATTTTTGCGCATTTTTAAATCTTCGTCAATATCATTGTCGAAGAAATTGAAAATTGTTTCCCCTACGTATCGTTACGTTAAATCAATACAGTTTCTCGAATGTTTTGCATACCTTTGCATATTCTGCTATCTTTATGTCTTGAAATTTACCATAATAACTATATTTACACGGTTGATTTTTACCTTATAGTTGTTGTTGAGATATACTAAATGCTATTTGTAAGTCTGTGACATTTAATACTAATTTATGTCGAATAATAATTATATTATACAGTCAAAAATTAAATTGATCGTTTCCTTAAGAATAGCTATGCAAATAAGAAAGCAAGTTCACATTCAATTCAATAATTTTCGATGTAGATGTAACATTATTCCACAGACGAATAAAATGTTAATAATCGGTAATGAAAATAGAAATCGATCGATAATGGCATTAAGAAAAGTCTCCAATTTTTAACATTTGATTCAGCAACAACAATCCATTCACCGAAATTGATATTGAGCCTCAGAACAACGATTTCGTACGGGATGAAATCAAAATAACGCGTCAACCAAGATGAAGGTAACTTGTAATATCGGCCGCCTCCGATTGTGGCGAAATTCATTCGTTCCTAATCTAGGACTAACTGGTAAAAATGGTACCAACATTGTAGGTCATTGGATGTGATCGAAATGCGAATAAAAAAATGTACGGTGTCTGATTTAAAAAGATCAGATTTACCTTGAAATATCCTTCACCATTGTATGAATGAAAAAATTGTTACTACCACGTAAGACATCTTTTTATACTGAACAGCTGTTGCATGAACATTTTCTTCGTATCTTCAACCCATTCCGAGATATTTCACTGTACTCATTTAATACTTATTTAATTTATATAATCAAAAGTGAAATACCTCGGAATGGGTTGAAGCTACGAAGAAAATGTTCATACAACAGCTCTTCAGTACGAATATGTTTATAATATATTCTTATATATGTTTTATAACATATACGAATTTCGCAACAGGTCCATGGATGTGAACCAGCGATGGGGTACAGCTTCGCGGCGGGAACGATCGACGGGCCAGGATCATTCTCGTTCGAGCAGGGTACAACCACGGCGAATCCGATGTGGAACGCGGTTAGAAATCTCCTGGCCACCCCCACGACCGAGGATGTGAGATGCCACGGCGCGAAACCGATTCTACTTGCTACCGGACGCGTAAGTTCGTGCACGTCGACGAGACCTTCTTGCAAAAGGCTAAAACACGTGCAAAAATTGCTCCTATAACTAATAAAATATAACAAAATGAATCCTCCTATAATAATATTCTGATAATTCTAACAACCTTTCTATGATCAAATAAAATTTTCTACTCTATATATATTAAAATTCTATCAGAGAAATTAGAGTGGAAAAGTATAAAAGTAAAATATATATATAAATAGTATAAAAGTAAGATGTAAGTAAGATAAAAGTAAGATATATATATAAAGTATAAAAGTAAGATATATATATTTAATATATATCAGAGTGGAAAAGTTAATAATAACTTTAGCATCAAGTTTCAATTCGAACAGGGAATGAATGAACAAGAGTGTTGCAAGAGGGTTAATTGCACGTGGTTTATATTGTTCGTTTCGATTGGTATTTATCTTTTAATTGGTATTTCGAACAACCTTCAGATGCATCTTCCGTACGAATGGCAGCCGAAAATTGTGGCGACGCAGGTGGCGTTGATCGGTAACGTTGTCATCGCCGGCGTGCCGGGAGAGTTCACGACAATGTCCGGAAGAAGATTACGAGAGGCTATCAAAACGGTCATGAACGATGCGTCCGACGACGAAACCTCCGTCATAGTCGCCGGACTCTGCAACACCTACAGCGATTACGTCACGACGCCAGAAGAGTACCAAGTAAATCGTAGACCACACGCTCACTATTTCGTTCACTACTTCCTCCCGACGTTTCTATGACAGAGTGGTCATTGGAAGACTGAATAATAATGATATAAAACAGAGTGGTCATTGAAAGACTGAATAATAATGATATAAAACAGAAATAACTTTTAACAAACACGTGTTTTTTATTTGGAAATATAATTAATTAATTAATCTCCAAGGGATGCTCTATAACCTACAGAAAAAGAAAATAAAAAAGATTGAAAAATGAAGGAGCTATGACTTTTTCAAACCCGTCACCCGTTTTTCAGTGGTCACTCTGTAGAATAGACTGTCTTCCAATAAACAGACCTAATCTTCAAATTCTCAACTCTCTTTCCTCGTGACGTTATAAGGTTTAGGTTTGGTTAGGTTAGGTAATCTCGCGCCGAATGAGGAAAACTTCACCGAGAAATTTTCTTTTCTTTGAAATTTCTAGATCCAAAGGTACGAAGGCGCGTCCACGATATACGGACCCCACACTCTGACTCTCTACTTGAAGCAATACCAAGAGCTCGTGACAGCCGCTATTCTTGTAAGTGTACCGCGAGAATCTTCTTTCTACAAAAAAAATTTCACACTCTTTCGAACAACGTTCGACTCTGAAAATCTATATTTTGTAATTTTCGATCTTAGAAAAAGGACGTAGATCCCGGGCCAACGCCACCAGATCTAAGGAAAAAGAATCTACTCACTTTCGTGACGCCGGTTCTCTACGACACCCCGAAGTGGGGCAGAAATTTCGGCGACTGCATTAAACAGCCGCAAAAACTCGCCACGCCCGGCGACATCGTTTCTGCAGTGTTCGTGAGTATGCTGCGTGTTAATATCGTACTTTACTTCGAATTTTCAACTTTAAAATGGCTATAACCGTTGTTTCGATCCTTTCGTAACGATAATTCGCTCCGCCAGGGGGGCGCCACCACTGAAGAGGTCAAACTCAACTCAAAAAAGTGTACACGTCGATCGAATCGTTTTCCAAATCCGTTCTTAATCCATTTTGAAATAGAATCTGTTTTTGAATTTCCCGGTAATACAAGGGCGCAGAATATTTTCTTTTCTTTTTAAACAAACTTCAATTTTTCAAGTAAAGCAATCTAACCTTAAATCTTTAAGAGATTGACAGTTGTCAGCCGGTCTTTTCTGAATTGCGAATAGATTGAGAACGATTTTTCATTGAAATAATTTCTTAGCGTACAAAATATTCCACCGTCGAGTAGAATAAATAGAAAAAGCTCATCTTGATGGCTAAGGCGTGTTATGTATTTTTAATACGTTAATAGATCGGGCGCTCGTAGTGAAAGGGTTAAAATCGACGTCGAGTAGAATAGATAAGAATATTTGGATTAGTTTGATAATCGAACAAAGGCGAAAAGACCCGACCGTGGCCTGATCAGATTTAACAAACGACGACTACGCGGATTCGCGAACGTAACGTGAGATATCCCGTAATGATGGGATTTGAATAGAGCGCGCAACGCCATCTTCAATGTGACGAGCCGTTAACTCGCGGCCCATTTACGCGACCCATTTTCCTTTATGATAAACACAAATTTCTATGGAAATGTCGCATGCTTTGGTAGGTAACCACGAATTTCTCTCGAGATTGGACCGATAGGACCCATTTCTTCAAATTTCTTCTTTTATCTGAACTACGTATCTCGACTATATATAATTTTATCCGTATATATATATTATACATTAATTATATATATATATATAATTATATATTATTATACATATAATTAAATTTTTATTTATTATCCGTGTGTGTGTGTGTGTGTGTTTTTGTGTATGTGTGTCTATATATATATAATTTAATTCCATCTTCGTGTCTTCGCGCAGTTGTCGGTAATTTTGGTAATTTGTAAGCTTGTCACTCGCGAGGTAGAACAGCGAGAGAGAATTTCGCCAATATCACATTCCATGAATCCGGTTTTGCTTTCGTCAGATCTCTGGCCATCCGCGTAACAACCTGATGACGGAAAACTCGTATCTGACGATCGAGAGGTTAGCCGACGACGAGGTATGGGTGCCAGTTGCGAACGACGCCAGCTGGGAAACGAAGTACGTACCCTCGATTTTCACTTTTTCGTTCCTCGATCCTCGAACTGTCCAAAGTCCATATTATACCACACTATAACGTATTACACAACGTAATACCATATATACCATGTTATACCTAAATAACCATAACGATAACTGAAAGTAACTTAACCTCTTGCGCTGGAACAACGTGTCACGCACGTCGAGAATCTTTTGTCCCAAAATTGGAATATTTTCTCAGTTTTAAGTGTATTTAAGTATATATAAGTACAACCCAGGCGAAACAAATAACATATTTATTACTTCTCAATAATTTCCATCCTAGTAATATAAAAAGAAAGCGACGAATTATTGTATACGGTTTGGTCACTCGTTATGGTCCGCAGTCACTTGTCCGGCGCAAGTGGGTTAAGAAGTAATATAACATATCGTGCAGTGTTACAACTTATTATAAAATGTGGAAATTTTCACGTAAATCGATGGTAATCGGAAAAATTGGGAAAAGTGTCGATCGGTTGAGAATATCAGGCTAAACAAAAATAACAAATGATATGTTTCTTTCGTTTGGTCGGTGTATATATCGTTCGTATAGGTTCGAGTGGCAGAGGATGTCGATGGTGCTCGGTTCGAGTCAAGTCATCATTACGTGGCAGATCCCGGAGAACATCAAACCCGGTGAATATCGCATTAGGCACAACGGGTACTACCGTTATATCCTTGGTGGCATCTTCCCTTACTACGGCGTGTCGAACCACTTCCAGGTAAAATTCAGAACCGGTCGTAAGTGATCTGTAATCTGGCTCGTTTTTTTCTTCCTTTCCCTTTTTTTTTTTTTTCTTTTGATTCTCTTAATGCTCTACAAATCACTCGACACGATTATTTTTTCTTCTAACTTCTAACGAACCAACAATCTCGACGATTTTGTTTAACATTTTTTTTTTTTTTTTTTAATTTACTACACACGCATTGCACAGCGATCTCTCATGCGAAATTCTCTTCATTGACAATTTCAGATTTTGCCCGGTGGATCGAGCTGCTGCAGAAGACGACCTTACTACGTGTAACCAAGTCGTGACGTGTGAAAATCGAGTGAAGACGCTTACGCTTAACTCGCAGCTGAAGCTAGACAGAGTTCAACTGCGAACGCCATGTGTATATCCTTCTCATCATTTTTGTACAGCGCTGTTGATAACATATCATACGTGTGATCTCCGTGAAATTTAAACATTTTTAGCTTTACGTCGGTAGGATTAGAGTTTAATTAAGCGTCGCTAACGAATCAACGTGATAATAAACGAGTAATTTATACAAATATCTATGTACAATTTATTCTAAATAGTTGTCCTAAATATTTATTCTGATTATAATATATAATATAAGAGAATTATAATATATAAGAGAATAGAAATTATAATATATAATAATATATAATATAAGAATATATAATATATAATATAATTATAATATATAATATAAGAGAATAGAATAATTATCAGAATAAATATTTAGAATAATTATTCATCTAGGCAAATTAAATTGTACTTACTTTATTAAATTTATTTTACCATATATATATTTATATAATTTGCTTAAATGAATAATTATCTTCTAATTTCATTTTATTAGCAAACACAATTCTACATTTGTACCCATTTTTCCTACTCGCACGAGGAAAGATAAATAATCCAAATTCTTTGGCAGAGGAGACAGGTTTAGATTGGCAAAGTTTTTATCATCGCATATCATTCTACGTGTTATTATACATTTCCATACTGGCAACGAGGGGAAAGAGCGAATCCTCCCCCAGTCTCATCTTAAAGCTTTCGCGAAGAATTGCTTCGCACTCTCAAATGTAAGATCGTCGTGTTCGTCTGGAACGTGAGAGTCAAGGTCAGTCCATTTATTTGATATTTGTCAATTCGATACAACGAGAGAGGCAAAAATAGATTCACCTGCAGAACCAATTAATCAAATTCAGATTTGCGTAACGTTTTCGTTCCATGCCGGAGGAAACAATTTCCGGAGGAGAAGTTGATCCCCGTCGCTGTAAAGAAGCTTTTACTCTTTACATGCAAAACGAGGATTTCGTTCTCTTGCCTCTGAAACAAATTGATTCGGACGCTTATATTTCTTAAGAAAAGAAGAAACGTGAGTTCTCTCCAAATGGATTCTCGGGGAGAGAAGGAGGAGTCCGCGGCGAAATTCGGAAGAAACGAAGAACGAGTCGAGAAACGACATCAGGACCGTGAAATCGACGCGCATGGTTAACGGGCCTCGCCACGCGAGGTGGATGAAACCAGAAAATAACAGGCATTTAACGAGGAATGCGGTCAGCAATTTGGAATACCGTGGCACGTAAAATGCTCGAGTGTCGTCGTAAAGATTCGACTGCGTGCGCGGTCCGAAGAGACCACAGACGAGAAACGTTCGATGCGGTCCCGGAACGATTATTGAAGGCTACTGGCTCTAATTGGACGCTACCGGATATTTGTTGCAAGATTCAACGATGTCCGTAGCCTACGAAGCTTTTAATGATAAACGACAGAACGCAATTACGGAGAAAAGTTGATACGATAGAACGTTCCACGACATTCGGACAGGGTTACACTGATTCAGTTGTGGCTAACTGACTGGAGGTATTTTCAATGGACGGTTATTAACGTTGATTTAATTTAAATTTAATCGAACCTGGCGATTTGATTGCATTTCCGGGTTTGATTGCATTTCTATCAGAGCGCAATTCCATCTGGTTCTGGTTTAAATGGATTAAAAGCCATTTAATTTTGGTTAAAAATTACTTCAGCTTTGTCGTTTAGGTGTTTAAAATTTACAATTGGAATTAACTTCCATTTGGATTTGATCTCTGTCTTCAGTTTCTGATTAAAAACCATAGTTCAGTCATAGTAAAACGTTGCTCAAAATTTGAACTGTAAATCAGAATTGTGCCAAAATTTAAATTCCAATTGGGATTTAATCTTTGTCTCCTGTTTCTCATTAAAAACCATAGTCAAACGTTGCTCAAAATTTGAACTGTAAATCGAAATTGTGTCAAAATTTAAATTCCAATTGGGATTTAATCTTTGTCCCCTGTTTCTGATTAAAAACCATAGTTTTTTGAATCATAGTTAGATGTTGCTCGAAATTTGAACTGTAAATCAGAATTGCATTGCAGATTCTATCTCGCTGAAAATTTAAATTCCAATCGGGGTTTGATCTCTGTCTCTGTTTAAAATTGAACGTCCTATTGACGGGCGACGCTTCTATCATGGCAACCTGAAGCGCTCAAATACACAACGTGCTAATTATCGACTCGGAAAACCTTGGTAGTTTCAACGTTGCGAAAGTGCGTCATCCCCGGAAACTTTCGCGAACAATAATACAACGAAAGAAAATTAAAAAGTTCTCCTCTCCTCGGAGGAGAAGAGTTTACGAGTCGTTTATTACGCCCACAAACAACTTGCATCGTCCAATCAGTCTCTGAAGATAGAAACGTTCATCTAGCACATTGTCGAACCCCTGTTTCTTGCATATTTAAAGAACAAGCAAACATAATTATGAAAGAAAATATATACGATTGTTTTAGGCGAGTGAAACGATAATCAGAATTTAAGTCTAAAAATTGTACAAACTTCTTTTTAATGTGACAAATTTTTAACATTATTTTTAATATGACAAACAACTGAAGGGAAACTAGTAAACGGAAGAAAATTCAATTAAACGCCAATAATTGCTAAAATCACGGCACTGAGATCCTAATGAATTACATAAATTTAATTTCACTGACGTTTTACAAATTTTCTAAAACTCCGAACGAAGAAATTTAATTTAATTTGATTTTAATTTTTTGAAATTCCGAATTCCAGAGATTTATTTTCCAAGCGTCTTTCCTCGAGTATCCTTAAGTTATAAACGCTCAGTTCACTCGAGCGAAAGAGGGGGCCGAAAAACATCCGCGAAACAAACAAGTACACTTGATATCGAGTCGGCAGACCAGCAAGCGAGCAGCGTCCAAAAGCAAAAAAAAAAAAAAAAAAAAGAAAAGGAGAGACCGACCAAGGAGAATCATCGAGTGATCGAGGAGGTTAAACGACGTGAACCAAATTCGACACTTGCGGACAGGATCTGCGCCCTCTCTTCTTCGAGAGTCTCTTCTCCCATCTTTTCACGAAGAGAAGAAAGAAGGAGGAGGAGAAAGGAATGAAAGGAATGAAAGAGAAGGGAGATAGAAAGAAGTCGAGGGACGGTGGAATGTGAAGGAAGACTGTTTCCTGCGCGAAATGAAGCGAAGATTCAACGAGGGGGATTGCATTGGACGCGGATGTTATCGAGGGTGGTCGTTTGGGAGTCCAAGGTTGCTACCGGGACCGCTTCAAAACAAGTGCCACCGTCAAGCAAAATCTGAACAGACCGTATACTGTCCAATTCTGCGAAAATCAAAGTGAAGCATTAATTGATTAAATGGGCGTAGAGTAGTTTGAAAATGTATAACAATATTGTAACAACAACATATAAATAATATATAAAATATAAGAATATTACAATAATATATAAATATATAAGAATATTACAACAACATATAAATAACATATAAAATATATAACAATATTACAACAACGTATAAATAACATATAAAATATATGACAATATTACAACAAAATTATACATTAACAAATATATAACAATATAAATACATAAATTACAATTGATTAAATGGGCGTAGAGTAGTTTGAAAATGTATAACAATATTGTAACAACAACATATAAATAATATATAAAATATATAAGGATATTACAACATATAAAATATATAACATATTACAACAATGTATAAAATATATAACAATATTATACATTAACAAATATATAACAATATAAATACATAAATTGCAATGTATTTATACTATATATTTTCAGACTATATCTACTGTGTACCTACGGTACAAGTACAATGCATAATATAAATTACAATATAAGTGTAAATTAGAATTATCTTGAACGATCCAATGGTAATAATCTCAAAATTTGTAACAATATATACATTCCTGATCAAGAGAATGTAGTCATGTTGAATACTTTCAGACTACTCTACATCCACATTCGGTACATTCATAATTTAAATTACAATATAAATATAAATTAGAATAATGACAATAATCTCGTAATTTGTAACGATATGTGCATTCTCGATCAGGAGGATCTAATTTATATACAAAATATATATTATTGTATTGTATATATTTTCAGACTATTCTACATCTATATTCGGTACAAGTACAGTATATTCATCATATAAATTACAATATAAATATAAATTAAAATTGTCGGTTAGAAGATGGTAATAATCTCGAAATTTGTAACGACATACCAAAAGAAACGTTCAATATGTCGTCTGTAGCAAAATCCAGCAAAATCTCCTCGCTTTTCACGTTCCAATAAATCGCCATCGTCTCTCCTTTCCAGGTTCCTCTCCTTTCTTTTAACCGAAACGAAGAAAATTGAAGAAATATTCAGTCCCGCACGAAATGAATCCACGAATTCATATTTCTCAAGATTGCGAGAGTTTTAACACGATCGGGCGAAATTATTTGTGGAATTCTGCGGAAAATTCTGCGACTGAAACACGTAGAAAAAATACACGCGAAGACCGACGAGGAACTGAAATTCGTTTCCCTTTTTCCAATCGTGGACGAAGAAGCATGCTGCAACGAACGCCTCGCTTCAGGTAATTTCCATATCATTTTTCGAATTATCGTCCACATTGTGTGTCAAAGTCGCTCCGTGGAATTTGCATAAATTGCTCATAGTCACCGGCAGTCACCGTTCGAGCGCCAGCTCTGTTGACTCGAACGGTGATTTCCAGACCAGAGCTATTCGTGGATAAATTCGTCACACGGCGACCGTCGAATAGAGCACGTATCTGTTTATCCGGACGAAAGCGTAAACTGCCTCGTTTAATTACCGTTAATCACCTTCAGACATCGTCAGATCGAGAATTGAACACTGTCGTTTACCACTCGCATTATTACATGCGTATCTGTTTTTAGTTTTATCTTTTTTATTTCGCGCTTCTGAGACGTTAATATAGCACTGCACCAGTGCAACTTTGTAAGTGCTTTGTCGATGTTTCTGTCTTTTTTTTTCTTTTTTTTTCTTTTTTTTTTTAGTTCAATTTGGTTTGAAAATCCAACTCTCTTTATTCGTAACAATTAATCAATTACTCGCATTATTACATGCGTATCTGTTTTTAGTTTTACCTTTTTTATTTCGCGCTTCTGAGACGTTAATATAGCACTGCACCAGTGCAACTTTGTAAGTGCTTTGTCGATATTTCTGTCTTTTTTTTTCTTTTTTTTTTTTAGTTCAATTTAGTTTGAAAATCCAATCTCTTTATTCGTAACAATTAATCAATTAATTACGAATCTCTCGATTTGCATCTGTAAAACTACGTCACAGCAATTGACCCGATAGTTAATTATCACCGCCCAGGAGTTTATTATTACGCTCTGTTGAGGAAAAATTACACTCTATTTTCAAAAATATCTTAGATAACAGTATCAATTACGTTACAGCGATACGATGCGATTTGTTGCTGTAGAAAAAATAACCTGTGGAAGAAAATTATGTTTGTTACAGTCTCGAAGCGACTTTATTATAGCAATAGGATGTTCATTACCGCGACGACTATGGTCAGTGTTTATTATTACTTTATATCGGTGCGCTTGTTTTCAAATACCTCGCCACACAATTATTGCATCACGCGCAAATATGTAATTTGTGTCTGCAGAAAGAGAAGAAAAACTATGGACAATTATAACGAGATTTTCCTCTCATTAGGATTTCTTAGAAAAGTTGTTTGGAATTTAGTAAAATCTTTAACCTTAACCGTGATGATAAATGATCAGATTTAATTTAAGAATCGAAACACTCTTAAATTCTACGACCTTTCGAATTTCTTCGTCTCATTTGTCCCTGTTAATGAATAAAATAGGCATCGTATCATTAACTTTGTATCATATTATATCATTAATATTGTTAATTTTTCAATTCCGTGACTCTTCGAATTTCTTGATCCCGTTTGTCCCGTTAGAATAGGTATTTCATCATTAACTTCGTTTCACTAAAAGAAAAAAAAAAAAAAAAAAATACAGAACGTCTACTATTATCGAAAATTATCAGCTTTTTAGCTTCCATGTGTATCAAGTAACACACGTCGTTGTCATCGATCGACTTATAATATTGCACGAAACGATCTGTGTATTGCTGTCTAATGCAAACTTCTTTCCGGAAGGAAGAAAGAAACGAGAAGAGATGTTTTTCACCACTTTCTTCCCCAAAAGAACGATAGAACCGATTTTATATCATTAAGGTTTACTTTCTATATTATTATTATCATCACTATTCTATATCATTAATAGGTTGTTCAAACTTCGTTTCTTAAAAAAAAAAAAAGAAAAAAAGAATGTCTACTATCATTATCAGTTTCAAAATTTTAGCTTCCACGAGGAAGGGTGTTTTTCACCCCAAAAGAACGATAGAATCAGTCGGTAAATTTCATTCACTATCATTTTATATCATTTAGTTAATTTATTTGATATAATTTAATATAATTAAATATAATTCAATCGGTAAATTTTACTCACTATCATTTTATATCATTTAATTTATTTAATATAATTTAAAAAGTTAAATATAGTTTTATTTAATTGATATATTAATAAAATATAATTAAATATAATTTATATAATTTTTCATTCTACACAATTAATGGGTTCTTCAAACTTCGTTTCATTAAAAAAAATGTCTACTATCATTAAAAATTATCAGTTTGAAAATTTTAGCTTCCACGAGGAAGGGTGTTTTTCACCCTAAAAGAACGATAGAATCAATCGGTAAATTTCACTCACTATCATTTTATATCATTTAGTTAATTTATTTGATATAATTCAATATAATTAAATATAATTTTATTTAGTAATTTTATTTAATATATTAATTAATATATTAATTAAATAAAATTATGTTTAATATAATTTATATAATTTTTCATTTTACATCATTAATAGGTTCTTTAGACTTCGTTTCATTAAAAAAAAAAAAAAACAGAAAAAAAGTGTCTACTATCATCGAAAATTATCAGTTTGAAAAATAACTCAATATTTTAGTCTCCACGTATCAACGTTTCCATGTATCGTTGTCGTCGACTTATATCTTGTCACGAAACGACCTGCGTATCGCCGTCCAATGCAAAATTCCTTTCGAAAAAGAGGAAAGAAACCAGGGGGTGTCCTCCACCCCTTTCACCCGGCGAACGAACGATAGGAACCAATCATGGCGAGCTTCGTTCGCTTCAAACTCGACAAGATCTCGACGATTTATTTGACACTTATGCGACAAGCTCGGCTGAATCTTCTGAACGGAATGGAGAGAAACTGCAGTGTTCGAGGGGCGAGAACAAGGACGAAGGATAAATGCGAGAGATCGTCTTCTTCGGGGTAGGGGGAGAGGAAGGGACGGATACGAACGATCGGGCGAAAACAAAAGAACACAGTGGACGGTCGGAGGTAAGAACGGTGGGGAAAAAAAAAGAAGAGCGAGAGAAACGAGGGAAGCCACGAAGACGCTTCCGCCGATCGGAGGTGCGCAGAAGCGCCGATGTCTGGCGTCGTTCGTCGTTGTCGTGACAAGGGCTAACGCAGTCGTGATTCGCGCGGCATTCGTGCCGGTTTGTCGTTTCCCGCGGATTAATTCACAGTCTCTCCCAGTGTTCGACGTTTGAAACTGCAAGGAGACTGAAAACGATCGAAGTTTCGAAACTTCCAATGGCAAACGGATGATCCACGGTGGTTCGAACCAAGTTTGTCAAAGTCGAGGAAAGTAGTCGTCGAGGTTTCCAACTGTCGCGAGTTAAAAAACAACAGAAAAAGGAGCGTGAATATGAGAGCAACGATGGAGCTGCTTGATCGAAAGAGGTTCCAATCCAAGTGACAATTAGCTTAGAAGGAAACTGGAGAAAATTTTCGAGTCGAGATCAAAGCGAAAGGGTACGAAGCACTTCGAAAGAGTTCGGAATGAAGCACCTGAAACTTCAATCTTCGTTAAACGAAACATAAGGTTCTCGAGGAACCAAGAGACAGAGAGAGAGAGAGAGAGAAAACACACGGAATTAAATTGCAGTCGATTCAAGGAAAACAACCGGTCTCTGTCTCTAGTCTCGGATTTCGATTCAACGAGCATCATCTTTATTTTTGCTCCCGCTCGTCGGAGCTTCCTAAAATTCCTAGCAATTCCTCGTGTTTTATCGCAAGGCCGGCGATTTCACTTTCATCGATCGACTCTCGAGTGAGGAGCAGGCATGCGGCCGAGACGAGCCTCCGAATTCCTGGGACTTGCGAGATCAATCGTCTGAGATCGTTGGAAACGTCGTCGTCGAGGGTAAATGTCCGTCAGTCCGCCGCAATATGGAGAATCCGACGAGCTATCTCCAAAACTTGACCGCAACTCTCAACAACGGCAGCATCGTCCTCGATGAGAAGCTGTTCCCCAAGATCTCGCGCAGGGACTCGCTCTACATCGTGGTCCCCGTGACGGTTGTCTACCTGTCGATCTTCGTGGCAGGCATCGTCGGCAACATCAGCACGTGCATCGTGATCGCGCGCAACAAGTCGATGCACACAGCCACCAACTATTATCTGTTCAGCCTGGCGGTGTCAGACCTGTTGCTGTTGGCCTCCGGTCTTCCAGCGGAGATCTACCTCGTCTGGTGCAAGTACCCGTACGTGTTCGGCGAGGTGTTCTGCATAATTCGCGGCCTGGCCGCGGAGACGTCGACCAACGCCTCGGTGCTCACCATCACCGCGTTCACCGTCGAACGATACCTGGCCATATGTCATCCGTTCCTCTCGCAGACGATGTCGAAGCTGACCAGAGCGGTGAAACTGATCCTGGTGATATGGCTGGTGGCGTTGTCGTACGCGTTGCCGCAGGCGTTGCAATTCGGCCTGATACAACACCAGGCGAACCCTGACATGTTGATGTGCACCGTGAAGAAAGTTCTTATACAACACTCGTTCGAGCTGTCCACGTTTTTGTTCTTCGTCATACCGATGAGCCTCATCACCGTGTTGTACGTGCTGATCGGGCTGAAGCTGAGGAAGTCGAACATGATGAAGAAGAGCAGCGGCAAGGGGAAAGCTGGCAGCTGTAAACACCATCCTGGAAGGTCTTCGAGAAGAGTGCTCAAGATGCTCGGTGAGTTTCTTTTTTTTTTTTTCTTCTTCTTCTTCTTCTTCTTCTTTTTTTTTCTTAGCTGTTTCGTGTAATAATATTATATTCCGCGCTACGGCACGTGGGGCAGGTGCTCGTTAAAGGAAAGTAAAGAATAACGCGATAAATATGGGAATACGAATGTTTCTTTTACTGCAGACGAGTTGATTGTGAGTGAACTGTGGCATAGCAAAGGGTAATAATAATACTTCACCGACTGATTGATGGGCTACCGGTTTTCTTGGTTTTAATCCCTTGCGCGGACCATAACGAGTGACCGAACCATATATATATACAGTAATTCGTCGCTTTCTTTTTCTTTTGAACTCCGTCCGTATCAGCGGACGAAAATTTGAAAGAATTTCTAGTCATAGCTAATTAGACAACATTATGGATAGAGAAAAACGTAAACCTAACCCAACCTCTAAATTAGATAGTACTCGCCTAATAAATAATAAAGTCCTTATAGTAAATCAGTCCTTGTAATTAAAAAAGTCCTAATAAACACGGGTCGACAAATTAAAAGTTTCAAAGTTCTTGTAACAAAAAAGTCCTAACAAACACGGGTCGAAAAATGAATAGTCTCAAAGTTATAAACCATTCTTTTTTGTTTTGCTGCTTTCACAAGAAGTGGCATCGTGAATTTTCAGAATAATCATGCACGGGTGCGAAAGACAATCCTTCCATAAAGCAATTAATGAGACAAATTTTCAACATTGGTTTTCTTTGAATGTGTGGATAGGAATGGTAGATGATCAACTTTTGTAGGACCGATCGACATAGTCACATCTTATCTTAATCTTTCAACAAATACCATTGCCATTGATGTTACACTTGATATAATACAAGATGTATACAGTGGCGTTCAAAATTTTCGGGCCAGATGGTTTTTGCAATTTTTCTTCGGCAAGAGAAGTTTCGAGGCGAAGTTATTTGTTAATATAACGAGTAAGGACACATTTATGCAAATATATGATAATTCATGCAAAAGAAATCAACGCTATCTTGTCTTTGTATTCACACGATATTTAAAGAATAACTAAATTAATTAAGTAACTAAATTTAATGCTGCAAAAGAAATCAACACTGCTTTGTTCTTCGTGTTTACACGATATTTAAAGAATAACCAAATTAATTAAATAACTAAATTTAACGCCTTGCGCCTTGCAACTGGTGCGCGCGGACCATAACGAGTGACCGAACCGTATACAATAATTTGTCGATTTCTTTCTCTTTCGAACTCGTCGGTACGATATTACTGGATAGAAATTATGAAAAAGTAGTAAACTTATCATTTGTTTTTGCCTGGTTTACATTTAAATATGCTTGAAACTGAGAAAATGTTGCAATTTCGGACAAAATATTCTCGACGTGCGTGGCACGTGATTCCAGCGCATTAAGAGGTCGATTCAAAATTCTCTCCCATTCTGAGCCCGCTATAGCAAGAGCGAAGGCTATCAGATATCAGTCAATTAGCTGACCTTGGAGAGTTTTCGGTCCTTTTCCCCAAGAAAGTGTAATGAACGAAAAAAAAAAAAAAAAAAGAATTGTCTGAAAACAGTACACTCGTTCTTTCAAGAAAAATCATTCAACGAATTAGTGTTCTCTTCTGTTGTAGCTCGCGTTAGATTTTCGTTTCAGGTTGAAGTTTATTTTTAAAGCGAAATGATATCTCCACGTGCGTGGCAACGAAAGCATTTCTAATGATTTGCAATCTACAATGTTAATTGCGGTAATTTCTGATAATTGTAACATTTAATTACATCGTAACTGCTGATGCATGTTTCATCGATAGCCAATAGCGCGAAGAAGTTGTTCGAAAAGTGTGAAAAGAAAAGAAAAAACACGGCGTGAAATAATTTCCTGTGGGGGCAAGCAACGATAGCCCCCTCCCCCAAAGAAAAAAGAGAAAACAGGAACAAGTACTTCACTTGCTGATAAAAATTTTGTCGAAACGAAAGAATCGTCTCTTGAAATTTCTTTATCGTCGTCAGTCTGCTGAAAGTAAAAGTGCTCGTTCTTCGAATGGTTTTCAGATTAAATGAATCAAACGGATCCGAAAACTAGCTGCGTCAGAAACAATATACATTAAGAAAATATATTCACCAGATTTTGAGGATTCTTCGATACGATTTCAATTGATAGAAACGTTACCAGGGGTAGATGAAAACGATGATAACAGCAAAAACTTTGCGCAGAGAATTCTCTCGTAACTTAAATACCAAGCCCGAAAAACAACTCGCATACGTTTTCGTGGAACGGTTCGCCGAAGAGAAAAAGATGGTAAGAGAGATCTCAGAAGAGTCCAGTTTCTTATTCATCCGGTGACGAGCCGGTCAGGACCATTTTTAAGGGACGGGAGCGGAATATTAAGTCACCGAATACTAAATACGGTACCAACCGGCCAGTCAACATTGGCAATCTCGTTGAATTTGTTCCTCTTTACGACAAAGAGGTCCGCGACGCATCGAAATCGCCAATGAGAACGTTACGCCCGAGTAACCAACAATTACGCTCTTCTCCTTCACTGGTAAACCACTCATAATGATGTAATAAATATAAAGAAGCGGCGCGCACTTGCAAAACGGGGCGTGCAGTGATCGGCTTTAATCTTACTTTACCTTTATTTTCGCTTCAGTTTTCAGGTGAATTTCAATATCAATCAATTTTAATTTTTATCTTTATTCTTATGTGTCTTTCGGGGAATTTTACATAATAACGAGCAATTAACGGTAAAAACGGTCTCGTCGAGCCGGAGAGTTCGGAGGGAACGTGGCACTCGATGAAAGCGCAGTTTGGGAAACGGTGGGAAAATCCGGAATCGCTTGTCTACAATGGGGGCCACGTGCGTGTCACATGTCCACGTGTCGAATGCAGAATTTTCGTAAACTTCCGGGACGAGTTTACAATTCACGTTCACGTTGCGCGCAATGAATCGGAATAATTCAGTCCGCGAAACGCAAATACCACGGGAACACGCGTTTGCGGCATTGCGACATTGCAAATCAACGTAAAGAAGTCGGAATTAATCGAAATTAATGGCCGACTCGACCATTTTAATTTCATAGTGGCAAATCGAAAGATAAATAAATAGGAGATAACGAGATGCAGGAATTAATTTTGATTAAATATTTCGAGTTACATAGGGATGTAGCGGGCCAAATGTCGCTTCCTACTGGAATGAATCCGTAATTTCTTTATTACACGTCTTTTACGAATTAAAAAATTTTGAAGTTTTATAAAATTAGTTTCTCCTTGCATGTTGATGTTTTATTCGAAAAAATAGGTGGTAAGAAACTTTTGGTGCACCCTGTATATATATTAGAGACAGAGACGTCTGCAAATTAATTTTCAATCAACGACACGAATTATCGAATAATTATTAAGCGTTAACATTATAGATGAAAGTTTTTCGTTAGGGAGTTTCGTTAAATTCGATATCAATTAGGGGTATCCACAAGTAACGTCGTTTCTTGATGACTGTACAAACTTTTATTTCGTTTAAAAGTTAATACAATTTTAATCTACAATATAATTTAATATAACAAATGTCATCTGTAATATAATAAATCTATAATTTGATATAATAAATCTCATCTATAATATAATAAATCTATAATTTAATATGATAAATGTCAGTATATTTATAGGTTATGTCAGCGTATATCTAAATGTCAAGTTTTGCCCAGGAGTTTCGTTAAATTCTGTCTATAGGATATCTATTAG